GCAAGCAACCCATAGCTAAAGACCTTATGATAATTTTTTATTTATATTTTTCAAATTATAATCGAATATTTTAATAAATATTTGTATTTTTATACCTTTTTTAATATTTCAAATTGAAATGTTTCAATTTTTTATTGCAACGAAAAAAGAAGTATTTTATTTGTGTAATGTAAAGTTAACAATTTATATGCATGAAAAAAAAATATTTAGGTATGGCAAATTACAAACACAAGATCCGACTTGGAAATATGCAAAATTAAAATTAATTTGTCATACATACATTAATTGTGGTAAGGAGACGAATGAAGCTATATCCCGAGCCAAGGAGCACCTTATTGGCCCTTTCAATACATTAAAATGAAGTAATGTTATTAAGCATAAGAAAGTACCTTCGGATGTAAGAAATGAGTTGTTTGTCCATCAAGATAGAGTAAAGAAATTCAAACAAAATTAATATATGGAGGACAATGAGAAGGTGATTGACCTAATCGAAAAAATAAATATTCAACCGCACTTGCATACTGTAGTAAGAGAACATATGAACTATGTTATGGATCGGATAGTATTAGTATATCTAAAATAACAAGTTTAATGCATACTTTCTATATAAAGATCTTGAAAGAGAAGTTGCTAAGAAAAAAAAATATGAGACAGATAAGAATTAAAAAAAATGTGGATATAAGTATCAGAGAAAGAACTTTACAGCACATTGTCACGTGCTTTTATCAAGCAGAAATTCCTTTTATGTAGTAAAATCGACGAGTTTGATCACATGGTTGAGGCAATTGTAAAATCTAAACCAGCTCTTCGGCCTCTATCTTATCATAAGTTAAGAGTTATTCTACTTAAAAAAGTTTGCACAGCTATGAATGATATGCAAGATCATAAAAAAACTTAGCAAAAGAAATGATGCACTCTTAAGTCTGATGGATGGATTAATCATGAGAATGCATTTACATAGATCTTATAGAAATTAATTCTTTTTGGCTAATTCATATTTAGGCACTATATTTTTAGCAGCAAGGATGTATCTAAATATTCAAAAATTATAGAGAAGCTATTTAAGCTCTTACATGCATAAATAGGAAAAAAATTGAAGAAAAAAATGTGTTTCAAGTGGTTATAAATAACATGCCAATCATATGCTTCCATGTATGTAATTTATTTTACTTACTATTAAATGCAAATAAATTTTATTTTTCTTTAAATTAAAGAATGTCATCACATTTTTGTTTGGTTCATGTAGGTCAAATGCTAATGGAAAAAAGGAAAATACATGTTTGGACACTATGTGCAACATATTATAAAGATTTTATGTTGGAGGATATTGAAAAAAAAAAAGGTGAAGTGGAAAGTATTATCAAAATAACTTTATAGCTAACGGACTATATATACAATAATGGACTTTTTTTTAGCATGATAAAAAATATACTAGTGATGCAGAATTGGTAAGACCAAGAGTCACTTGTTTTGCAGATTCATTTCTCACTCTTGCCAACATATAGAGACAAAAAAAAATTTAAAGCGTATGATTGTTTTAGAAGATAAGGAAAAACCTAATTTTAGTGTTAATAATTAAAAAAAGATTGGGGAGATCATCCTTAACATTAGTTTTTGTAATGACGTGTTTTACACATTAAAGGTTATAAGTTCAACAGTGAAGATGTTAAGGTTAGCATACAGTGACAAGCAACCTGTAATGGGTTATATTTATGATGCAATGAACTAAGTCAATGATACCATCAGTAGTGCATTTAGAAAAGATGAAAAGAAAATGAACAAATATTTTAAATTATTGATAACATGTGAAGATGGCAACTCCGCCAGCATTTGCATCAACCTGGAAGTATCCTAATTTAGAAATTTTTATAAGAATAAGTCTAAAATAAAATCATATGCACAATTGACTGAAGACATGTATGCAGTTATTACAAAATTAGTACAAAATCTAAAAAAGAATACAGATGAACAACTTTCTAGTTATAATCATGCTAGTGATCTTTTAGCAACTGATTACACCATCCGCAGCAGAAATAAAAAAAGTTCCAAGTATGATTAACTGATTTTTATTCGCTTTATTTTCAATCTTAATTTAAATAGTTTTTGTTTGACATGACATTATAGTTATAACAACTGGGTGACGAGAGATGTATAGTGCATATACCCAAACCTTATAAAAATTGACTTGGATTGACTTGGAGTACTACTAACTGCAAAAGCAATTGAAGTATCTTAGAACAAAATAACAATTTAAAATTTTAAACATACTAAATAATTAATATGTTTTATGTGTTTATTTTATTATTATTTACAAAAAAGAGATTCGCTAAATCAAGAGTGCTTGAATTATTTAGTTTTTATCAAGTCAATCAAGCTTTAAAGAGAAGATTCAATTTGAGAGTTTGAATTCAATTGATGAAGATTGCAAGTTGTTGAATGGAGAAATGGAGGATGTTGATTTCAAGAGAAGTTGATTGAAATCGACCTGTAATAATTAGTCGGGCAAAAAAGGAGTGGTTCATCTACCTTGATGACTAGTTCATCTCGACATGTATTTGTTTCTCCCATGCCAGGAAGAGAAGATTAAAATTATTCACAAGAAGAAGATGATGAAAATTTTGAGGACAAAGAAATTCAAATTGAGGGAGAAACGGATTATATGAATGAATGTGATGATAAAAACTACTGAATTACTTTAGCTTGTTATATGAAAATTAAGACTAGGGCTATAAAAAAAGCTTATTGTTCGTGAATTGCTCGTGTTCAACTCGTTAAGTAGCTTGAATTTAGTTCATTCATTAAGCAACCAAGTCAAACATAAACAATTTTATGAGCTTGATTAATAAACAAACCGAACAAAAACAAAGGTTTGTTCGTTCGGATTTGGCTCGATTTGGCTCAAAAGAATTTAATACTTGTATTTATTTATATTTTTATATTAATTAGTTAATTTTATTTAATAAAATTTAAATATTTTAATCTTAAAAGTTATTTGGCAGCATAATTATAGAAAGTATAAATATGTGTTAGATTTATGAATACATAAGAATTAGCTGGTATGTATACGCCCTTAGAATTTCCCCAAGCCTCTGGATTTAGGTGGTGCAGAAGTATATACAAAATAATTGGGAGCAATGTATGTGAATATCCCTTGGAATATTTCGCCTTTGCTCGTTTGGCAAAGAGACGACTTCAATTAGCTGGTAGACTCGTAAATAAAAAATAATTTGGTGATATGTATATAAAAATGTCCCTTGAAATATTCAACGTTTGGTAAAGATGACCAATATTTTAGTAGTTTAGTCCCACATTGACACTTATGTGAGAAAAGCACTTTAAACTCAAATTAATTTTTTTATGTGCAAAGCGGCAGAGCTTTAGAAGATTGTACTTATGAAGTAGGTGACTTTATGTAATATATTTATTTTGAATAATATTTTCTTTAATTTTCAATATAAGAAGAGGCAGGGCAACATTTAAACGAGTCGAACACGAGCTTAATTCAGCAAATAATCTTAAATCGAGTCGAATACGAATAAATTATTCATGAGTCATTTCGAACACGAGCCAAACACGAACATAAAAAAATTCAAAAGAGTCAAACACGACAAGCTTTGGGCTAGCTCAAGCTTGGCTCATCTACACCACTACTTGAGACTTCATTAGTTTTTTATGCTTTAAAATTTAAATTATTAAGTTATTAATTTTTTCTGCAATTTATAAGTTTTTAATTATTGTTGTAAACTAGAAAAAATTATTTAAAATTTTAATTTGTAGACTCACATTTAATTATTATCTTCAACTTATATATTAAAGCACATTCTTCTTTATTTTTTATCAACATTTAATGCATATTTTTGTTTGTTTAATAATAATTCATGAATATATTTATACATGAATAATTTCATATAACACGAACGAGCTTTGGGCTCGCTCAAACTCGGCTCATCTACACCACTATTTGAGACTTCATTAATTTTTTTATGCTATAAAATTAATTTTTTTAAAGTTATTCAACTTTTCTGCAATTTTTAAGTTTTAAGTTATTATTTTAAACTAAAATAAATTATTTAAAATTTTAATTTGGAGACTCACATTTAGTCTATATTCAACTTGGGTATTATAGAACATTCTTTTTTATTTTGTATCAACATTTAATGCATATTATTGTTTTTTTAATAATCATTCATGAATATATTTATACATGAATAATTTTATATAACATATTAGTGTTTTGATTAATAAAAATGTCACTTCACTTCGCATTTTGTGCTATGCACTTAAAAAAAAATCCTATGAATCGCATTATGCATTTGTGTTTTGATTACACGGCTCTATCTCTCTCTCTACCCCCCCCCCCCCCCCCCCCCCCCCCCCCCCC